AGTACTCTGTGACTGTGACTCTTTATACTCAACTGGTTGGTTGAAACAAAATCTTGGTCTGGATTTTTACTATCTGGAACTATCCACCTCTGCTTACAAGAGTAACACTTTAATTCCTGTTGTATTAAAAGACTAGGAGCTAATTGTGAATGTACTCCCTACCCATTAGTGTCTCGGAATTTCATTCCATTCCTGTCGCTGCTATTTGTGACATCTTTTCTGGGCGCGACGCGGCTCATGTTTAACGATAGCTACCTTTGTTCTTTTCTATTTGAACATTGCAGCGTCGAGGGGCAGCGCCCAGAATGACATCCCCCGTGATCGAAGGTAAGTCTCAGTGGTTTACCCTGCGTCGGCGCCGGTCGGTATAGGCGGCCGCCTAGGGCACCATCCTCTGAGGATGGGTGTCGGATTAGCAATTTCACTTCGTCTCAGATGGGGGCGGGGCGGGGAGGGGAGGTGCTGATGGTGAAGCTTGCCGATGAAATCGGGTCGGCTTTGACCAGTATTTCCCTGGACGCCTTCTCTTAGAGCTGGGCGATATCATATCGATATCATATCGCCAAGCCCTACCTTCTCTATGTCTTTGAGTGCATTTGAAACGGCCGTGATAATTTTTGCGCCTCTGCACGTCTGTGTTCACTCTTTTAGTCTGTGCACAAGTACGTCTATTCACATCTTTGTACTCCACTTCAAATACGTGGCATATTTAAAAACCTAAAGTCATAACACTTAATTAACATCCTCTACTGCTATAATAAGTTGTCTAACAGGTGCATGTGTAAATATATACAAGTTTGTCCTGCTCAGAGTTATTAAGCTGGTTCTGAGATGAGCTGTTGGCTGTTGAAACCATGCGCCGCTCTGCTAATATCTTTCTTGGCGCTTTTGCTTGCGGCAGGAGACCAGAGATAACCATTCTGTCAGCGGAACCTCTGAGTCCGGGTCACTGGTTCCCTGGTGGTTCTGGGGGCTTTCCTCCACCGCCCCCTCCCTCTCAGCAGATCTGGGGCGGACGCATCCCAGCAGAGGGCCTGGTAATGCTCAAGCCTTCCTCTTACCCATGACGGTGTGATGTACTGTAGGGTTTGTGTCTCTGGGTTTACCAAGTTTTTTAACCCCCCCCCCCTCACTTGCCTGTAGCCCCCGCCCTCCTATGACCAGGTGATCAAAGAGAAAACAAAGGAACAAGAGCCCCCACCCTCGGCCCCACCGCTTCGTACCACTGCCATCACCACTACCATCGCCACACAGACTGACTTTGAACCCGAGACTGAGTCATCTGTCCCAGAATGCACTGCAACTGCCCAGGACACCAGAGCTGAATCTGCTGGTAAGAATAAGGGATTAAAGTGTCATTCCCAGATAAAATCAAATATACTTCAGATACAGGTGCAGTTTATCAGTTTGAAGTAATTTTCCCATGATTCCGTAACTTTTGTTAAGGTGAGCTTTAGCCAATCGTACAGCGTGATCTCGTCTGATGATGTAATGGGGGAGGAGTTCATGTTTTTGACCGATTCTGAAAGTTGTTAAATGCTAATTTGTGCTCATCATGTTGTTTGATGCATTTTTTTATCATTTGTAGATAAAAAGCCCCATAAACCTCCCAGACCATCCCTGCCTTCAAAAGTTAAGCGAACTCCAAGTCAGCTTGGGGCTGCACAGGGAGTACAGACCGCCCCTGTCAGTCAGGAATCTGGAAATCGCACTTCGGGATCCAACCCGAGTGACCCCTTCCTGCCTGGGGAGGGTGCCCCCTCCACTGAGCCCCTTAGCCCCGCCCCCGCCACAGAGTGCCCGGTCTCTGCCCCCCCCTCTGAATCTCTGTGGTTCCCCACTCCGCCTCCCCGCACCAACCCCAACTTGCGGCCGCTCACTCGAGAGGTCAAAGTTCAGACATTAGTCCGACTGAAGGATGACGGGGAGAATGGCCAGTTGATTCTTGCTGGTGGGGAGGTGTCCGATAGCAAGTACCTGCAGGAGCTCCTGGACGTGTTTGGCGAGGGCGACGTGTGCGACGCCGGGGAGGGCAGCGAGGAAGAGTCTGACGACGACGACGGCGACGACATGTGCGCCCTGCACAGCCACCGGAACATCCGAGCCAAGATCCAGGCCTTCGAGAAGCAAGTTGGCACAGACGGAGGAGACAGCGAGGGCCTGGTGGGAGAGCCGCAGGCAAAGCCCCGCTACCAGCTGCCAAAACCCCCCATGTTGGCACCAAAGCCAGCCCTTTCATCCAAGCCCTCTAACTGGACCTTCTGGGAGGACAACTCTTTAGCTGGCTCCACCCCTGTCCCCGCCCCCAGGCCCACCCCCCTCTCCACCCCCAAGCCACTTTTTCCCCAGTGTACTGCAGAGAATGGAGGCTCCGCACAGGCCCTGCCCTCTTCTTCTTCGGGGGTGTCTGTTCTCGCCCGGGTGAAGAACATCATGGCCCAAGAGGACCAGCCCATAGTAGCACGCCCCACAGTACAAGCTAAGCCCAACCTGCCCATCCCTCTTAGTGGCAGCCTTGACGACTGGATCACGCCCGCAGGTCAGTATCATGGCCATTGGTGGTGTATCCATAACCGTAATCTCTGCGGCCCTCACCTGCCCACGGGTTCCCTCCCCTCCTCCAGGCACTGCCCCGGCCAAACCGCTCCGCTCTGTTCAGAACCCACCAAGCCGGCCCAGTATCTCCCGAAAACCCACGATGATCAGAGTAGCCAGCAAATCAGAAACGCGTGAGTTTCCCCTGCTCGCGACCAGATGGCTTAAAAAAACAGATAATTATGGGAAGGGAGTAAAATAGCAGATGTGATTGTGAAGCAGAGTGCTTAGGAGGACGAATTAAACCACTTCATCGTTAAGTACTCATTCATCCGAGTGCCTACAATTCCACAGGACTTATTCCTTTCTGTGTTTGTTTATACAGATCTCTGAGCATAATATAGTGATTATCAAACGTGCCACATCACTTGTGGAAGTTTTACTTACTCAAAAATGTTCTGAGCACAGAATGAAAAATGATTGGTTCAGAGAGATAGATCCAAGCAACCACAGGTGGAGGGACCAAGACATCTGATTGGATGGTCCTGCCTCCTCTAGTTGCTTAGACCCACCTCCTCTACAATCTGATAGGTTATTTCTCTGAACCAATCGTTTTTCATAATGCCCTCAGAACATATTTGTGTAAGTACTACTACTAAAATCTGATTCTCCTGTAGAGCATTCAGTGGTAGCCTTGCTCTGATTGGTTGCTTGAACCTGTTACCTATCCTGTAACTGACTGGTCTCTTTCAGAATCGGAGGACATGTTCCAGGACAATCCACCCCCCCCGACCCCCCAGTGGCCTGCAGGAGACTCTGTTCTGACCGGCCAAAAGTCCAGCCTCTTGTCTAAGTCCACCTACCAGACCCTGGTGCAGGTGAGACGCCCTTGGCATTGGGGCCATGTTCTGTCGCTCCAGTCCCATTTGCTGGCCTGCGTGAACCACCCCCCCTCGCAGCCCGAAGCGATCGTGGTGTGGGAGTCGCAGGATCCGTCGCGGACCACAATGCCTCATTTTCTTTAACCTCAGCTGCACTCTGAATGGGAGCCCCTCTGCTGTTGCCGACTCACAAACGCGTCTTTGTGTTTCGGCCCTCACCGGACCCCCGGGTCCACGTCAGCTGTGGCTCGCTCACGCCACCCAAGAAAAAGCCTCCTCCCAGATAGCTAGCGGCTGCCCCAGCCTGGACTCGCCAGACCCCTGCCTTGCCCTCACGACCATCTCCCAGCACTGTGGAATATCCCAGTATCACTCGTCGTACTCGTGTCCTGGGCTGTGACCCTCATCCACGAACGGTGCTATTCCAAAATTGCTCTGTCTACACCTTCAAATTAGGCATTGACATCCAGTGACCATAAATCCCCTCTACCCCATGGAAGGCCTAATTGCATACTGTCTGGCCCCCGAGTTAATCTTGCTGGATTTAACACCATCTGACCTCTCCGTGGGGTCAGTAGACGCGGTCTGCAGACTGGCGGCACGTGGTGGCTACAGGGGATTAGCATGCTAGCATTTTCCTACTTGGCTAAAGGTTTCCTGCTCTGTCTGTTGGCCTCTAGGGATTCGGTAATTCAGAGTGGCCCGACAGCTCCGCGCCCGCAATATCCCTCCCCCCTCGGTGAGTACGGCATGTTTGTCTTCATTGGTCAGAGTACTTCAATGGCCTTGCACACTAGATTTAGTTTCCTGGGAAGTTGCAGCTTCTAGGTTTGATGACATCAGAAACTCTCTTTAACAGTCAGAAATTCCCATTTCCTACTCAGACCCCCAGGGGGCAAGGTCCTTCCACTCTGCCCCCCACCAACTAAAGTAGCACCAGGAAGGCCCCCCCCTCCACAGGCTGGCAGCCCCCGACAACCCTCCTTACATGGAGGAAGAAGTGCAGCTCCTGTCAGGCAGCGTCAGGGGACAACTAAGCGGGGTCCTGTTCTACCCCCTAGACCCAACCCCGGACACGTCCTCTACAACAAGTATACAGTAAGTACTATTGCGTTACTGGTGATCCTGTGGGGGATGTATGAGTATTCAGTGTGTAACTGAATATGGGAGTAAGCTGTCAGATGGGCTGTCTGTAAGCCCAGAAGCAGACGTCTAGGGATTATTCTGCAAGTTTAACGTCACCTGTGCTTGTAAGCTGAATGACTGCCCTGAGAAATGTCCAGCTTTGGATGAATGTGTCAGCTAAGGGTTCACGTTACCGTACTGAATGTTTTCGTCCATGTTCCCTCAAGCTTGGACTCCCACACGCAATTGCAGAGTTCAGCTACCGTGGCAGCAGTCCAGGGGAAGTCTCTTTCCAGGTAAATAACCCACCCTCACCAAAGGCTGCTGGAGTTCGCTGACAGTTGAAGCCATGACAGACCTTTGTTTTGCTGTGTTGCCTATAATGACTTTACCCACCTTGTGTAGTAGTCATGGCAATGGCTGAGCTTGTAATTCTATGTTGTGTCGCTATAGACTACAGACCAGTCATTTATTTAAACTGTTATCTATCAGTCAATCCGTCGGATGTTTTTGGCAAACGGGGGCCACTGAAAATCACCATAATAATAATAATAATAATAATAATAATAATAATAATAATAATAATAATAATAATAAT